ATGTTGAGGACAATAGCATTGGGTAATTACTTAAATTACGCTTCTGAATTATCTATGATTCATGATTATCTATCACTACTGTCACAATAGATAAGATCGCTATAATAAGGGGGTAGGGCAAAACAAAATGAGCATGTCATTCTTCAAAGGACTTTCTATCAAGGCCAAATGCACAATTTTTCATTGTTACCTAGGGAGAGACTCCAACAGGTGCCTAGCTAATCACTGAGATGGTCTTTGACACAATGGCAATTTTGATGACAATCAAATATGCATGAATCGGATGGTTATCTTTCATCAATTTATATACCTTGATAATTTTTATAAGGTCATGGTTATAGATTGAATGCATGTTTGAAGTGTTATCAAATGGATGTTGAAAGAATCTTATGCTTCAGGTTTTTGGAGAAGCTTGTTCCAAGAGATGACATCCATTTTGTTTAAAAGGCGACCAGTTTTTAAGAATAATTTTCTTTTCTATAAAGCAACTAATTACACTAATTACTATGCTATGTCCTGATCAATGCCAGAAGACTACAGTGTACATTTATCTCTGTCACAGAATTCCATCGAGTAACTGTCAGTTTCACAATGCTACATGTAGCAGGTGCTAAAGAACATGTTTTTTGTGACGTATTCGACATTTCCAGGCCATATGTGGGCAGTACAGTAAATTACACCTTCCAAACTTGACACCTAGATGACACCTACATTGTAACATGTCTTTTATTATTGAACAATAGAAATTAACCAAAGGGACCATTAAGCTTGATTCTTCAGAATTAGCTGATGTTAGATTACTTAGAACTTTTAAAACTTAAATGTTTTGCTGACCTCTTTACCTCAACACTGCAAATATATTAATTTTGTATTACTGCATTTCCATATCCAGGGGTCGAAATAGATTTTGGGGCCAACTTGCACTGGTGCAAATGAAAAGAAAAATACTTGCACTGGAAGAAAAATAGTTGCACCCTCCAAAAATACAGAAGTGATGGGAAACATCCGCTGGCAGCGACGTAGATAGTAACCTTCTGTTACTTACAAAAAATGAAGAAAAACTTCATGGATTCTGGTTTTGTTCCTTTCCACTCCAGTTCTTTATTAATTAATATTATTGGGTAATTCTACAGGTAGTAACAGTGGATAAAGCAAACTTGCACCATGGTGCAAGCAGGCAAAAAATTAGTTGCACGACACCAAATTTACTTGCACCAAGTTGCACACAGAGGGTTATTTCGACCCCTGATATCAGACCCAAAAACAAAATCAAATATTTGTTTCTTCGTTTTGTAGAATAAAGAGGGTTCAAAGGGTTTCTGTACAATTTCATCAAATCATTTACTTCCTCACATATTGTTCTGGAAAAGGGACAGAGAAAAAAGGATGGTATGAAGAAAAAGGTTGACCAGGAATTATGGTTGACCCTTGACTTGGCCAAACCAGTCCAAACAGAGCTGTGGTTGGAGTCAAAACCCTGCTATGTTGTATTTGTCTGTTTTCCTGCTGTTTGGCATGTTTTCACAGGGTTCCAAACATACACATGTATCAACAAGTTTGCTGGGAAATAGGACACCGGTCAGTTCCCACTGTCTCAGTCCATACTCTAAAACTCATCATTCTAGTCTTGCAAAATTCACACAGTTGGAAATTTAAATACCAGTATATGTACCTAATACATACAGCTATCTTTTAACACAGACATTGACTGTAGAGTACAAAATTTTAAAGCTGACAAGACAGGTAACAACTGACTATATTATATAGCAAGGGAGTCAGTCAGTCTTCTTTCTTCACTCTTGGATAAATCAATCATTTTGATAAAGTCAAATTCGATGTCAAATGCCACAAACATCTTGCATGCTTGTATTCTTACCAGATTTTCGAATCCCATGGAAAGGTTTAGTACGGAACGATAGACCTTTTCCCAAGAAACTTCCCCATTTCTGCCAACAAATTTCTTTAACAAAAGGGCCTATAGGAGAGAGTTCAGCCATGGGGTAATCGAGCTGCCGCTACAACCTCAGTCTTCCATGTAGGATTCAATTCAGAACCTTCGAACCTTAGTGTACCTTTAGACTGTACCTGACAAAATGCACGTACAAGTTCTACACACCTGCAGTACTCCTGTACTAGCCCCAATACATGAACGGATACCACCCAAGTCAACACATGACGTACTATAACATACAACGTCCTTACGTACAGCTAGGAAGAAATACAGTCAAACCTGCCCAGGAAGACCATTCGGGACCAATAAAATCTGGTCTATGTTAACAGGTGGTCAAAGATTCTTAATGCTTGAGTCAATGAGAAAAAATTATCCAAGCGACCACCAAAAAGTGGCCAGGTATTCCTTACAAAGGTCAGGTCACTTGTACAGGCTTGACTCTATTAATTTACTGGTAAGATTCAAATCCACAGGTATTAAAACATGGTGAAATTTAAGCCGTGTGTTGTGACTTCAGTAATACACCGGTGGCGGCAGTAGTGTCACAAAACAGACACCACCGGTACTGTACACTACTGAAAATTCAACCACAGTTACAACAGTTCACTCACCTTTTACGTCAGTGCCTTGTGCAAACATATGCTGTACAAACAGTCCCACAAACACAGTCCAAAAACACGACCCCATTTCTAAAACCCCTCTTTCCCTAAAATCACTCAAAACTTGACTAAAACTTGATACTATAAGCCCTGTTGTTTAGACAGGACCTATACTGATGAGCCAGCTCACTGGTATACTACTACAAGTAAGGATGTGGTGTGGTGTACTTGTCATTTCCTGTGTAGGTTGGGAAGCATGTCTGCCCTCAGGCAATTAACCATCCGCTTACTCACTCTGTACATACTTGGTAACAGACACGCCTTCTGGACTAGTCCATGTTCACGTGACACCTAATAATGGTATTGTTTATACTATCATATATCATTCTTTTGAATATAGTATTTTTGAGCTGGCCTTCAAAACAATAATACTTAATTTTATATACTAGACTTTGTTGGATATGATAAGGCAAGTCAAATGTAAGTTTATTACGCAACAGGTACAATGAATGTAAGGTGAAGCATTGTGTAAGACTACAGGATACTTTTGGTACACAAACACGTACAGTGTAATGCAAAGGAAATGTAAATAAAAAGTTGACTATCGTAAATACTGTGGCTTTGTCTAACTAACGTCCATGCCATGACGTCACATGTACATGTATCTGCCATCTGAAAAAAAAAAGGTTTTAACAAACTCCAAAATGTAACGTGCTGTACTTCAAATCTCTCAAACACGCTGTTTTTCAAACAGGGAATAGACAAATGGAAATGGCGGATAGTATTGAATTCTGTTTTCACAGTGTTAATTGTTAGGCTAATTGAAATTAATACTACAATAGCAAAGTTCCTCTTACAAGTTTCATGGTTTGACACTTTGATTCAGGGAAAATTTAATTTGTAGGATAATTGAATTTTGTTTTCATTGTGTTGATTGTTGGGCTGTTTCTGAAAGTAATTCTATACTAAAAGGTTCCGCCTGTATGCTTCATGGTTTGAAACTTTGAAGGAAGAGGCACGAAACCTTCTATTTCAAACTGCAAACGGTCAAACTAGGCATATAAAAAGAGGAAACTGCCTCTCTTGGCAGCCATTTGAGCTTTTTGATGGGTGTCTACAGTCTATAGTTGGTTTATAAATGGAGCCATAATGCAAGAAAGTTGCAGTTAAAATTGTTCCCTTCCTTTTACTATGATATGGGTGTGAAAAGTTATTACAGCTTATGGATTTCCCACGTAATAATCCAGCCAATCGTATCACAAGGTCCTTTGAACACTGGGCTAAAAGACAGTGACTAAAAGCTTTCTCTTTCCCCAGCAAAGGCAAATGACAAAAGCCATCCCTCAATGACAGAAACACAGCCTTTATAACCACCGTAAATTACCTACTTTAAAGCTGAACAATGCACCGAGAAACCTTGGGAGATACATGGTCCAATTTCCCTGGCACTAAACATTCTCCGCCTTTTATTTCGCATAGCTGTGATATACAGGGAGGAAAGTCAAAAGCACAGGAAAATGCCATTAATCCAGCAGCAACTGCTCCCAAGTACAGATCAAAGACAGAATCAATTTTGTTTTATGCCTGGTTTCACTCCCAAGCTTACATGTATGTCATATAACTTCCTTGTAATGGGAGCACTGTGTATCATTCATACTTGCCAAGTACTTGTTTCAGACAATGATGCACCGTATTCCTGGATTGAACGGTTTGCAAATAAAGAATGCATAGCTTAAATTTCTAGTACCTTTTTTTTGTGTATTTCCTCTTTTATTCACTTTTAAATTTCTTGCTGCTTCAGTCCATGCATTTTCCCACTGGCTCTCGTAAGGAAACAGCTAATGCATATGGCAGGAAAAGTAAGACAGCAATGAGATAAGGTTTTTCTGAGAAATTTGACCTAAACTTCCTGTGTCCCCATGTGCCAAGCACGCGACCATAACCACTAACACACAAGCAAACACATAAACAAGACAGAACAAAAACAGAACCTTGGAGGTAATAAAATGAAATAAGCATGACCAAGAGTATGTAGCTGTGAAATCAATTTGTATGCAGGGCTTGTGGTAAAAGACTGGCAATGGAAAAAGCAATCACATCACTTCTAGATGTCAGTGGAAGAAAATGGGAGGAGGGAGATGGGAATGGTTACCTTCGTCTGTAAAGTGTAATAGTTACGATCACTATGCTACATGGCCTGGAATAAAAGTACCCCTATGTGTAGGCGTAAAAGGTACATGTATACAACTACAAGTAACTACCAAGTTCTTTCTCACTCAAAGAACAGACTTGTACATTTGTAGTGTTGTAGTAAAGAGGTCGCCATAAAAAATGCCACAAACAAACAACCGCAAACGTTTCAGTTTTAAAGATTCTAACATCAGCTAATTCTAAAAACTCAAGATTAATGGTCCCTTTGGTTAATTTCAACAGTTCAATAATAAAAGACATGTTACAATATAGGTACATTCATCTAGGTGTCAAGTTTGGAAGGTGTAATTAACTGTACTGCCCACATATGGCCTGGAAATGTCGGATACGTCACAAAAAGCATGTTCTTTAGCACCTGCTACATGTAGCATTGTAAAACTGACAGTTAATCGATGGAATTCTGTGACAGAGATAAATGTACACTGTAGTCTTCTGGCATTGATCAGGCCATAGCATATGTACAATGTAATTAGTTGCTTCTCAGAAAAGAAAATGCTTCAATCTTTAAAACTTTTAATCAAAATGGATTCCATCTCTTGGAACAAGCTTCTCTAAAAACCTGACTTCCATCTTACATCGCAACTTTGCATTGTCTTATTCAGTTATTGCTGTGAAGTTTCTGCATTAAAAATCTAACATCACTAGTAAGAGGAAGAAACATTTAAACATACCTGTTGATGTCAACACACAGGATAGAGTAGAACAGCACATGGAAGAAAAAACAGGGGCAAAATTTAGTGTGTGATGAAACAATTATGATTCATCATAACATTGAATATGCTACAGTATGTTTGTGTACCTGTGTATTTATGTATGCATACTGTAGGTAAGGGAATAGGCAACCTGTTTTCCATTATCATGTACCTATCATGTGTGCTATTTGCCAATCTTTATTCTAGACATTTGTCTGTTAGCATGAAAGTTCATCCTTTTTCTTGAGTTAGAGAACAGTTTAATTCTCATTATACATTTGTCCGTTCCTTTTTATATTGATTTTGGTATGATTCCCAAAATATCCTGTTCTTTTTGCCATATGGAGAACATATGGACAACCAACATGCGACAAAGTGCCCACAGTTTGACAGGTCCCTAAATTTGGGCCATTCCCCGAAGAACCACAAACGACAGCTATAATTGCGAAACTATGAAAAAATCAGCAAGCAAGTCGTAAAGTTCACATTGCATCAAATAAGTGGTCTCCAGAGGACGTCGTCCATGAAAACAAGTTTGTGTGGCCTTAACCACATAATCACCCATACATATACAGTAATGAGTGTAAATCCAATGCAGATATGTGCAGGTCAAAAGTATAAAGCACTTGGGAAACCCCAGCAACACTCATACATACAGAGAGTCCCCTCTCTGTTTATTCCATTTTACCAAGGCTATGAGGATTTGGACCATACCGATGTGTCATGGGGCCAGTGTAGTCGTGATCTCAGTAAATGGTTGGCAACCCGTGTGGTTACCAACTGAAACCATGTATGTTTCATGTGAGATTTACTTTCTTTCAGAAGCGTGGTGCAGCATAGGCTGTGAACATCAGAGACCCAAAGGGTCGATATCAGTGAAATCCATGGGGGGAAATGCAAGCTTGCCCTACTTTGCAGCTTTGTTGCAATGGGTCAACGATATGAATGCAAAGTTAGGTTTCTTGCATCTCTCATACAAACTTATAACATTGCTATGCATTTAAAACCTCTGCCTATAAACCTAGGTATGTATAAAAGCACTATTTATAAGCACTATTTATAGAATAATGATTATCCAATGTAACAAGGCCCGTTTTTTTACAAGCATTCTTTCTCATACATATTGGTTTCTTATGAATGAATATATGTAGGAACAGTTTTTGTACCAGACGACCATTGTACCAAATGGCAATCAATACCGACTGGAAAAGATCCAAACAGATACCATCTTTAGTTAACAATATCTCTTACTTATACACCTATGAATAAAATTGATGTCCTACAAAAATCAATTTTACTTTGAGTCTCAAACAAGTTCCAGAAGGTCAAGAAGTAATTAAGAATAAGATATACTATAATTGTACTTCAAGAAGTATTGAAAATCTTTGACCATTACAGTACAATGTACAAACTGATAGCCTATATCTTGCAAAATGAGTCGTCTAACATTGATTGCAATTCTTTTGTATTGGACTGGCTCCAACAGTTGTAAGTTCTACAGGTCTTATAGGTAATGACATGCTTCCAGGCTAATAGGTTTTAGGGTTTCCTCCATGCAGATATAATTCAGTTAGCTACTTCCAGTGTAATTGGATCATACAACATTCTGTCCATTTCTATTGGTCCTACTGCGGTTAGTGTAATTTGGTAACCATAACAAACCTCTAATAGATTAAAACAGCCTATTCAAACTTGCCTTTCTGACCTATTTTTTTCTTTGGCAGATTAAATAATAATTGATTCATAACATGAATCTAAAAAAAAACTTTGATTGCATTATAGGCAGTATAACTGGATTTTGGGTGTTACTTAGAGGTCGATATGTACAGTGTATGTACACAGCCAATAATAATTACTTGCCAATGTTTTGGTAGTCAGTGCTACCATGAGAATGGTAACAGACGGACTTCCAAAATGCTGGCTGGTTATTTCTTGTGCATATAGAAGTTTAATACAATAAAAGGCATGTACAAACTACAATCATGTGAAAAAATATAAATCATGTGTCAATTCAATCCTAAGGTATACAGATAGATTCTTTATGTCATACATGTAGTTATCATTTCAAATTAAAAAGTCAGTTGGTGTAAAGTTTTCACCAATAAACCACACTTGGCATGCAACCTGGTCCATAACTATGTATAAGCATCATATAACCTCATCATTTCTGCATCAACAAAATAGAATTCAAAGCTATGCTTATGAGGAAAACCAATTTCATGCACAATGAACAAAATCATTCAACCACTGGATTGAATGCATTTTTCAAATAAATCTGTTTTTCTAAGCAGATGTTCAAGGGCGTGGCATTCAATGCAACTGGTACGGCTCTATTCTGGCAACGGCATTATAATGATAACTTTTCTAGTTCA